TATTATTCTACTAATACTATATTATTTAAATACATTAATTTATTATACATAAACCATGTACAAAATACTTACTATACAATATATTATAATAGATGCGTATATGTTTATACTATTGTTTTCTTCTTTTAATATAAATTATTGGAAAGAATATTATTTATTTTGAGTCTGTTCATCTCTTATAAATCGCTGTGAGCCATGACGAAACCAGTCTTAAACATGCAACTCAAAATCAAGGTCTGACGAGTTGAATTTTTCCCTATATAAGTCTATAGAACAAATAAACAAACAAAAATGAGAATTCCCACTAAACGTTTTTAACACAAAAATATTTAAATAACCTTTCATGATGCTCATAAACAAAATATGAATGAACATTTTGAAGATAGCTCGTTACTGAAAATCTTTTGTAACACACGTTTAAAGAAATTCTTGATATTTGTACCTCCCATTCTAGTATACAATTTGTCTGCAAAATTATGGTATGTCTATTATCTTTAATGGGACTTTATTTATAATGGAATATGCATTAGTTAGGTATTTATAATGTAACAAACATAAACATAAAGGCAAATATACGTCATGTGAAACGAATATTTCAAAAAAATTTTTTTTTAATTTAATGTTCTTACCACATTAAGTTTAAAATCTGGATCATTTGTAATACGAGTATCAAAATCTTTAAGTGAATCAATATCTTTAAAAGGAAACATGGTTAAAAATGCACTATCTATAGGATTATTATTATTTTGTGTACTAGACATATTTTTTATGATTTTTTCTAGACAATCCATTCTTCCATAAATTCGTTTTAAATATGCATTTGTTTCAATGCTTTGTTCATATATATGATCCAATATATTTGACTGAACAGCATCTGAACTTGAAAAATATTCATTGTTTAAATAGTCATTATACAACTAGGTACTTAACACAATAGGTTATATAATATTAGATACATGTATATTTTTATAAAAATAACCAGTTTTTAGTTTTTATCAAAGCATAATTGAATGTAATATGTAAGTAAATTACATGAATGCATCAATGCTTTTGCAATGGTTAAGTGGTCTTAAATTGTCACCTTTTAAATGTGACATATTACATTAAAAAGATCTTAAAGTTAAGACATAACTACAACTCACCACGTTTAACAGTAAAATTGTTTGAATCATTATTGAGTATAGCTGGGGCAGACAGTAATGTGCGGGGTATTGAAAACTGTGAATTCTGTGTTTCGTTTTCAGAACACAAAGGAGATGCAGGCTCATAAACGTTTACATTTTGATCATTCATGTTTAATAATGTGTTCATTGCAGCTAAACAAATTTGAAATGGGCACAATAGGCACATTATAATATATACATTTTGTAGTTTCAGAATTGATAAATTTAGTTATTTCATTTTAATTGTTACATATTATAAGGAATTTTTTTTAATGTTATTACTTACATAACATATAGGTGCTGCTAGCCATTTGTACAGTAGTTTCCTGTGAAATGTTTGCAGAACTTTGATCAATATTGTACATTTCTTGACTGCTACATGCTAAATTTCTTGCTTCACATGATTTTTGCAAATATAGTTTTAGGATGTTTATCATAATTTGTGACAAAAATCAAAATTAAAATTGGTTAAGGTAAAAACAATATCATACACTGCTACAGCATACCGAACAATACCCAATATTTCTCTATAAACAATAATATACTATACTAATGCCTATTACAGTATAGGTAATAAAACAGAGTGATAATTTTAAATATAAAAATATTATTTAAAAATGAATAGACATTTTGGATAGGTATTTAACTTAAGAATTATTAATAATTTATCACTAAACTAGGTACCTATATGAATACGTATTTAAGAATATATATATAATTAGTAGAAGACATGGATCCCAATGAATTTGGTTCAAAACTATAATTACAAGACTCTCCTTGAATACCAGCTATTGCATTTGATATTAAACTTTTTGCTCTATCATTCTTTTTTTTTTATTACTATTAGTGGTTGATCATCATCACTTCTGTCTAAAAATATAAATGTTGGTTGATTAGTAAATAGACTACAAAAAATATTATTAATTTTGCTGCTCAAAATTCCAACTTTTAACTCTTTTATTAATATTATTAAACTTATATATTTATTGCAATAAACCGACTTTGAATAGAAAATAGTTCTTAAAACTTATAAGACAGTATATCTAACATAAGAATTATTTAAAAATATGATTAACAACAATTATTGTGTATACGTATTAGATTCTACATTTTTATTTACTTGTTTCATTTTAAATATGTTGATTATTATTTAATATTTTCAATTATCTACTCTATTAATTGGGTATAGTTTTAGTGTGTTATACACTTTTACCTATTCCACATTTATTTATTAACACTTAAATATATGTATAACAAAATATAAATTTAGTAATAATTCTTATTTTCTTTTAAGAATTTTAACTTATAACTTATAAATAATATTTAAATTAAATGTATATAAGTAATTACATTATCATTAATATTGTCATTACTTCTTGAGGAAAAACGTTTAGACTTCGCTTTTTTATGACTTCGGTTGGATTCAGAAGCTGACAGGAATACTTCTCTTTCTTTTTTTGCAGCTTCATCATAATTATCCACACATTATTTAATGTTTTATTAATTGTGCTTGTATACATAGGTATGTTTTTATAATAGCCAATTGGTATATTTTTATATTTTTTTATCCAAGTGAGTACCACAGATCTGTGGTGGCAACAAAAAATACACACGTTTTTTTTTAACAAACATCTCATCTTTTAACTATAAGTACCTAGGAGTTTTCAAATACAAATATTAAATATAATAATAAAATTAGAAATATTTTATGATAATATACGACACTATATGGATAACATACCTACTAATCGTAAGAAACAATTCAACCAACATGGCAACATACGACATATTATGTACCTATTGTAATCCTTCCTATCCTTCCTATACTATAAAATGAAGAACAGCTAACTGCGACCACAGCTGTCTATAGTGTACGTGTACCTACCAATGGAATGGAAAACGCCGGCTATAGCGAACCCGTGGCGTAAAAAATAAAGCACCGCTCCGTTTCCCCAGCCCGCCGGCAATGTTCCGTCGATTCCTTATAGCGCGACCAATCGCGTACCTTCGCGGCGGCGGCGGTCGGTTTTATAACGTTTTAAATTATCACCTCTTTTCTTATCATTTTTGAAATTTTCGGAAAATTAGCTGTTTTTACACGATTTCGACCCTTTTCGCCCTTTTTTATACTTAATTCGAAGCCGCTGGTGTGCGGTTTATATTTGTGCGCCGTCCGAAGCGGTCGCAATGTCGATCGAAAATTACAATCCCGGCCGGACTTTTTTGCCGATTTTTTCGTTTTATCACACCGTTTCGTCTATTCGCACGCCGTTTGTGCCCAAATGGTGTAGTCGACGTCTTTTTAAAGCCGTTTATATGCGCTTTTCCCCCGAAATCGGTTCGATCGCCTCGCAATAGCGTTTAGAAATTACGCCGGCGACCGACCGACCGTACGCGTATATATACATGTATATACGTGTATAATTTAATTTTTGCCTATGATTTAATAATTATTAACGGAAAACGCTTTTCACACGCCCCGTTAAATATATATATGGGAGATGCGCGTATTACAAGCGAATTATATGCGATTAAATCGATGATCATCGAATAAATTGGTTTACGTCGCTCCGTAGATGCACAGCTTAAGTGTTGATGTTTTGACCGTATTCCATATTTCAAACTGTGTCCGAGTAGGTTAGGCGTTAGGTAGGAAACACGTAGGTCCCGGGTTCGAATCCGTCGTATGCTGTCCGGGCGTCGAAACCGTCATTGCCTTATGGATCACACGAATCTTGACTTTTTTTGCATTTTTTTTTCACGATATTTTTTCATATAAATTAAATAATATAATATAATAATACAGGAACATATCGTACATTATTATTATTTAAAGTCATTCTCATATTATATCACACAATGAATAGGTACATATTATATTTGTTTTATTAGGAATTATTATAATTGCATATTTTTCAAAATTTCCATGATTGTTATATAAATATAGTTTGTATTTTATTTCGTATCTTTTATTACCGTCTGTCCATAACATTAAATGCCCTTTGGAACATTATTAGTTAAAACTTATCGCACGGGGGTGGAATGGAGAGGGTAACTAAGCTCTCGGAACCGTACCGTGTTATCCAACGTCAGGCTACGGCCAACGTTCGAAAGAGACGTTTGTATATGCACAGGAACCCTGTTGATTCTTTTGCACATTTTAATATTTCTAGACTCTTAACAAGTGCTTTCCTTCTAACGTATTTTTGGTTTTGGATCAAGCGATTTTTGATACAGGTGAGTACAATTTTGACAGACACAATAATAATATTAGCATTATTACCTATCCCGTGCGTTTGTACATCTATTACATAACATGTAGGTATTCATGGTAGCTCGTATCGTTTAAGGCCATCTTAACTCTTAAGGTTTTCTGTACACACTGCAAACATTGTACATGACATTTTGACCATGGCGCGTTTCGTGTTTCTTTTTCCCCATAAACAGCGTATACAATTTGAGTATAAAGTTTTTTATATCCACATTCGTACTCGGCTCAGTCACGTCAGCCGACAGAGGCCGTCCGTATCTTAAGTACCTATTTGCGTTAACATTGCTTGTATTCATTCTACTTTGTTTTGTGGTTTTAACATTCCTCGAGCTCAGTTTGTCGTTTTTCGTATTTTTCCATTTTTCATGTACCTATATGTACAAAAGGTATATGTACAAACTATATTATCAATTCTAAAAATAACACAAGTTGCAAAATCACTGCTGATGACATACCGATACGATCATCTTTTCAAAATGATTTCAATGCTTTCATTATAATAATTATATATTATGTATTATTATTAATCTTTAAACGATTAAACGATGCGTTCCAGGCTATTCACAATGGTGAGACGATGTGTGATCTGTGGAAACGTGGATGGTGACAATAACATTTCGCTGCACAGGTATTTACAATTTCACCCAACACATATCAATAATGTACATGTTATAAATCACATTCATCCTTAGAATTCCAACTGACGTGCGTCGTCTTCAGTGGGTGGAATTCGTGGTGAACCAAGGTTCTCATGTAAACCTAAACTCTGCGTTGTGTTCTAGGCATTTTGTTCCTGGTCTTGACTACGTTGAAGGGGGTGCACTACGCCGTCGTCTGGTCCGCACAGCGGTGCCATCTTTGGTGAGTATCCACATATCTTCATATCATATCAACTACCGAACTGACTGTACAGCAAAACACACTCTTATATCCTTATAGTTTAGGAATATAAAATGTACATACCTACTACCAAAATATACACTTTTGTAAACAACATTTTACATTCAAATACAATATTACATTATTATAGATACATTTCACTTTCACATATCTTCATTGTCTTTGACGATTCAATTTATTCTACATTAAGTTAAGTTTAACAATATTGTATTAATTTTGACTTTTTTCACTTAAAATTCCATGTGACGTTATATACTGTAATTACTATAACCATACTCAACTATTACAATAGTCAATCCACCTTGCTCATCATTTATAATAACACATACATACAAAAAAATACATTACATTATTATACATTTCACATACACATATATTAATATTTCTTAATTACAATTTCATTTAGGTACATATAATCAATTAATACATTGGGTCATATTTGGTTTGGTACATTCTACAAACTACACAATTTTAGTTTATATTGCATTACACTTTTAATTGACACTAAAGTTAATGACTTAATAACTACACTATGTTGTGCAGTTTAAACGAATAGAAAATAAAATATTATTGCAATGTTATTGTTTCACAATAAATACTCTATTGTATATTTAGTTCACTCTAGAATGAACCGTTCTTAAGATTAAATTATTTTTGTTTTTAAACATTTAAATTAACCGTCTATGATTCTATAGGTAGTCGGACCATACAGAGAACGAGAAGATCATTTGGAAAACGTCGATGCCGGTGTACAAATTCCGAGGGATGAACTTTTGTTGGAAGAAAACATTGAGGTAGTTGAAGTCATGATGGACAATGACAACGTTGAGGCAGACGAAGTCGCGATGGACGACGACAACGTTGAAATAGTTATCGTGAACGGAGACGAACAAGTATCAGATGATGATAACTTTGTTGGTGTTTTCGACCTTTCACCACTGTACGACATTCAAGAGGTCAGTATATATTTTGTATAAATTATATTATTCATTTAATGTTCATAAAGGAAAAAAATAATATACAACCGTGTCTTTTAAATTTCAGGTTGAATAAATCACCCCGGTTATCACTAGACTGTTGCTAGACCGTCCGGCTGGCGTTCAGCACCCACTACCGGAACCACACTACATAGGCGCGTTGAATTACGTATGCCGGTATTGTAGGGCCCGCCAATTTAAGTGCGAGGAAACAAGCCCGAATAATTTTTCTACATGCTGCAACAACGGTCTGATGGCCGTTTCAGGACCGCGTGTGTTGACACCTGCACCGTATTTACTACAGAGGTTGTTGGTTGAAGATTCGGTAGAAGGTAGACACTACCGAAATAACATCCGCCGGTACAACAACACTTTGGCATTTGCTGCATTCTCCACCGCCTTCAACACACGGCGCTTGCCAGGTCGGGGACCGAATGTGTTTACTGTTCATGGGCAGGGATATTGGACGATAAGTAATGACTTGATCGGGAACGACCCTATCCAACGCAGATTCTGCCAGCTGTATTTTGTCGAATCCGGCGAGACAAACCGGATTCGTAGGGAGCAGCAGCAACTACTGCCTGCCGCACAACGTCTATTGCCAAGTGTGCTCGAAGACTTAAGACGGCCTGTTACGGGGCATAAATCCATTCGCACAGGCTTTCGAGTAATATATTTAATTCATTTTACCTACTGAACAATCCACATTTCCATTACGCTACACTACAGACAAACCATGTTAACATTGATTCATAACATTGAAATATTTAGTTAGCTAGCAAGTACACATGTCACTACTCACTATTCCAATTTCCAATTGTAATAATTAATTACACTATTTCATTAGCCTTATGTCAGTGTATATTTACCTGCCTACTTACACTATTCATTTATACATTTTTACTTTGCTTGCATTCATACATTTTCAATTAGTTACAAAGTAGCTTACATTAATGAGTAATAACTAGAAAAACATAAATTCTTATTCGCAATCACAACACATTATTGCCTAAATATTATATTAACAACGTTTGGTCACAAATTAAAAGTTTATTTTATTTTGTTCATATTCAGTTACGGATACAGATTTATTTCTCTTAAAAGTATTAAGATACTTGGTAGGTATATGGAAAATTCTATACATACACTGCTACACTTCAATGTATGACACAACGTTGGTGCTATACACTACACTATTGCATTGTCACAGCTCATTTTTAACTCATCACTAACTTACAACCAATCTTACTCTCTCATGCCACACTTACTTTATACTTACCATAGGCACTACACTTAACATAAAGTATAACTTATTTAAATTGCGTTACTGCTGTCTCCGATTGTCATTAGATATTGATTTTTTTCTATTTCATTTATACCTATGCTTACATTTTTATACATTATTTTCTTCTTTCTGTGTGTGCATTATGTGGGTACACTACTCCTATGTACAAAACTCAACTTCTACTTGAATATTTCTCATTTCATTTCAAATGAACACAAACACACGTGACTAGAGTTAGAGTTAATGATTTCTATTACTTTTGTTTTTGTTCCTTATGTACTTTAAGACCAGCCCTATGCAACTCGATGAGATTAACATATAATAATCCGTGCTCTTATTGACGGGACAGGGAACTCATAAATACTAGTACTGCCATCTATCAACGACGTATGGTGATCTATAAGTTTAATGTCAATGATATCTCATGTTATGATAAATATTAAATAATACAACTTATGGGCATTCTTTTTTTTTCTTAAAATTAGGCCTTTCAGCCTTTGTATGGTTATAGGACGTGGACTAAAGTAGCAAATTCTATAACAACAAACAACTTTTGAGTTTTTATTTTATATATAATAATAATAAATAATAATAATGAACACAATGACTTACATAATACATTTTGTTAAACATTTTGAATACTTAGTATTGGTAAGTGTAATATTAATTATATCTTTAATAATAGATATAATGTACGAATGTTTTGTGAAACTTAATGAAATTATTATTATTATTTTCTTTTATTAAAAAAGATTTGGGAAAATGTGTTTGACATATTCGATCACCAACAAATAATGGAATCGGAACTACAAATTCCCAATTCTCTTTCCGCTTAAGAGTAACTATAAAAGTTGGAACTCCTTCTGTTCCTTTATGACATATAGCACACTTTTTTGGCATGATGAGGTACAAAGTTATAAACTACTAAAAGTGTTTTCAATTAAAAACGCTCGTCGTTCGAGTTAAATTACATAACAATATACTTTTTTTTTATACATTTTGGCGCAATTTTTGTTTATGTATTAGATTTAGGCGGGGAGATGAATGTATTGGATTTACAATGTTTTTCTTTCTGTGTTTGTATACACGTTTTATAGATGAAAAAATGCTTGAATCTTTAACTTTAATGAATATTTCTGGTAGCTTTGTACTTTTATTTGTAGGTATTCGGAAAATTTACAGTACCTAGGTACTTCACAAAATCGGGAAAACGGTAATTTTTACGAAAAACAAGATTTCAACAAAATCAACTATCTTATTTTCGTAATTCTTGATTCTAGTATATAATCATAATTATAGACGTACATTTTTCTTAAAATATTTATATTAGCATTTTCCAGACATAAGTCCTAAACACATGGGCCCCCTCCCATGCCCATATTTCTAAAAAAATGTATACATATTTTAAAAATAATTACAAAAAAAAACATATTATAATATCAAATGTTTTCCAAAAATTATGAACCCCCACCCTCACCAACCATGTCTCTGGAGCCACCCTTGACTTAGTACACACGTACACAAAAATAAAATTCGATTGAGGTTCATATTAGATTTCGGGGGGTTATTAATCTATATATATAAATAAACTACACAACTATTAATTTTCTGGGGGGTTTGAACCCCCAAAACCCCCCTGTATTCGTGCCTGCCCTGACTAGATTAGTGTATAGGTGTAATTACACTCGAAAGTCGAAATGTAGTACCTGCTATTTATTAATCAGTAAAACAGCTGCACCTGAGACCGTGGTTTCCGTTATTAAATAATAATGAAAAACATTAATCCGCTAGATAGTGACACGTGTACATGACTATTCTCTGTCCGGTCATTAAGAACACGGATTTCATTATCAAGTTGCCAGACCTAATAATCTAAGACCGTGTTTAAGACACTTCAAGTCAATGTATCCAAACAAAACATTTGGTATTATACATTGTACTACATTTTGCATTATGCTTACTCTCTGTCATTTTTTTACACTACCACATCACTCTTTGTTGATATTATGTGTGAGGATTAATTAAATAGGACTCTGACTTGACATTTCTGAGAACATTAACAATACACATATATATGCGCTACAAACATGTACCTATTACACAACGATTAATAAATTTCAATTTTGTACAATAAATCCCAAGACCGTGTTACTTCGTTACAGAACCATGCGAGAAGTTTGGGCTAGAGAAAACGCTGCCGACAGAGATCCTCAGTTGCTTCCGAGGAGGTTGAGAATGCATTTTGTCGCCGACGGAAATGTGGACAGGAGGCGATACAACCCACCGCCTGAAACGGTCAACGAAGTCGCAGTAGTGTTTGCCGGTGATGACTGTCAACCGCCAACAGACGTCGATCTGGTGATCCACGACCGGAATCCGATTGACCCGCAACATCGCCGGCTACAGACCATACCAGCCGGATCTTCAAACGCGGATCCAATGCTGTATCCCCTACTCTTCCCACGAGGAGAGCTGGGTTGGCATCAACGTTTGCTACAAGAGAGCCCTCGCCGAACCCCTGTTCGCAATCGGAACAGTATCAGGGAGTATACTTGCTATCGTCTTGCTATTCGTTACAATGGCAACAACGACACAATCCACGATGCTATGAGTTTATTACATAATGGTCGATATCTGTTGCAACAGTGTGAAGGTGATCATTACGTTAGAATGGAAGCGAACAACTTACTGTACATTAGATTTCATCAAGCTGAGCTTTTCGCAGAATCGTATCAGGGACTTGTGGATCACTTCAACCAACAGCTCCGAATCGACGCACCCGTGGCGGGCGTCGGCCGTAGGATGATTTTGCCATCGTCGTTCACAGGTGGTCCCCGTTTCATGAAGTGTTATCATGACGTGATGGCCATTGTGAGTAAGTGTGGAAAGCCTAATCTTTTTATTACGTTTACGTGTAATCCTAGCTGGCCAGAGATCACATAGAACCTACCGAGATGGGCCACGGCAACCGACAGACCGGACCTGGTGTCCAGAGTGTTCAACGCGAAACTCAAGCAGCTGATGCGCGACATAACGGTGAACAATATATTTGGTGATGTCGATGCATATTTTTATACTGTCGAGTTTCAGAAACGAGGACTGCCGCACGCCCACATACTGATCATTCTGAGTGAGGGTAGCAAGTTGCTAACTGCCGACGACGCCGACAATGTAGTGTGCGCCTTCTTGCCAGACCCGGTGACTGCTCCGCGTCTATTCGATTGTGTGACGAGACACATGATCCACGGGCCGTGTGCCACGCTGAACCCAAACAGCCCATGCATGGTGGACAACAGTTGTTCAAAGAAGTTTCCAAAAGAATACAGCGAAGAGACTGTATACATTTCTGACGGTGGTTACCCAAAGTACTATCGGCCAAACAACGGACCTGTGGCCAGGGTCAGAAATCAACAGGTCAGCAACGAGTTTGTCGTGCCTTACAACCCGTACCTTTTAGCATAATACGATGCTCACATTAATGTTGAGGTATGCTCTACCGTGAAGAGTGTTCAGTATTTGTATAAATACGTATATAAAGGGCACGATGCTGCGACCATGGAATTATGGAACGGAAATGAAATAGACAGGCATGTCATCAAAATGCATTTTTCTATAAGTTAACACATTATATTCTTTCAAATATTGCATTTGTAAAGTTCTTTTTGGTTTTCTGGCCTCACTGTGACCTCCTAACCTAACGTACATTGCACTTGCAACTTATGTAAACTTAAATTATTGTACATAAACACAACATAGAACAGCAGAGTATAAACTACTGGTGTTCATTAATTTAGAGTTGTTGTAAATATATAACTTTATATTAGCTTAAAACAACTGCCCACTTAATGCATGATTTCTATTATTTGAAATTTCACTACAGTAGTATCAGCATGGCCAGTTGACAACTGTGTGTCACAATCATCATTCATATAATAATATGTACTCCTCAATCAATAACTGAAATCATTTTCAATTATTTTTCATTATTTTAATTCGCTTAACTAAATATAATACTCAATCATCTCACATATCATCTCAATAGTAAAGACATTTTAGGAAAGCTGTTCAGCATAATATAAATTATTGAAACCGGTACTTTGTAAATTAGAAATTTCATATATATGTTATTAATTTGTTTCATTTGACAAGCATTTCTCTGTTACACTACAATGACCTAACACTACAGTATGTTATTAAGAAATTAATTGCAGCATATTATTAATTAACATTTATAAATTATTATAGACATAAATTAGATTTTTGAAAGCCATTTACCACTTATTAGACTAAGTCTTAATGTCTTAAGTTATGTACATGGAATATAATTAAAATGCAAAAAACAATATTTTGTCGTATTCTTCTTTCTTAACTTTGAAATAGTGTTACACTATACTTTGACATAATTTTATTTATTATACATACATCACAAACAATAGTATTATGACATTTTACTCATGGCAATATTTTATATATGTAAAATAATGAGATTTTAAATATCTATTGATGTCTTTTTGTACAACTTTATGTTCTAAATATTTTTGATACATAAATACATAAATGTTGGGCTATCTTGTCGTATGCGCTCTACCGGCGACATTACGACTGCAGTATGCGCTCTACCGTTTGATTGCACTCTACCGTTAATTTTATATACAGATAAGTAGGGATGAGAAGTTATAGGAGCTAAAATAGACAAAATATGCATGCAAATATGCAAGGAAAAATTATAATATATGCATAAAAAATTTAAAAATATGCAAAAAATATATTATAATATGCAATTTTTTCCATAAATAAAAACATGTTTAAAATAAATTAATATAAATAATATTCCATTAAATTTGTTTCTATTAAAATATAAATAATTTTTGAACGAACATACGATTGTACAACAACGGTTGTCACTAGACTAATTGAATTAAAATAACGTAAAGACGTCAAACACTCACATATTATATTGATATTGATATATCTATAAACGATTAGATTATACAACAACGGTTGTCACTAGTCAGACTAATTGAGTAATAAACGATTAGATAAGATACTAATCCTAGATTTACTTTTATATACCTACCTACTATTAAATGTTACAATTCTACAATTTTCAAATTTGTTATCTGCATTTTTATTTTATTGATTATTGCAGACTACGAACACATACAATTCTATAAAATAATAAATTTTTCATGTCAGTTGTATTAAATTCCACATAATTTTACTAAATATGCATTTTTATGCACAAAAAAACATGAATATGCAACTTTTAAGAAAACTACCAATATATGCAAAAATATGCAAAATTTAAATACCAAATTTCGATTCATTAGGTTATAAAACAGATTTTTAGCTCACCTAGCTATAAATAGAAGATACAGAAAAAAATATGCAAATCCTATAACTTCTCATCCCTACAGATAAGTCTAAAGGTACGGTTTCGTTTCTGCAGTTGACTGCAGCAGTCATACAAAATATCGGTGCAGTCGACTGCAGACTACTGGTGCTCAGACCAGTCTTGCAGTCAACTGCGTTAACGAAACCGTCCCTTAACTATGGGAATATTTGGAAACCGTATTTTTAGATTTATTTTATTTCGACAAACATCGCAGTTGTATCTGGGCCAGCACTGATTACGATTACAATTTATAGATTAATAAAATTATTATATAAATTAAATCATAAAGTAAAAAATAATAATATACACGTAAACCAAAACCGTTCGTCATCGTCTCATCTTTTTTTTAAAATAATCAGAAAAAATAAAAATAAAATAAATATAATAATATAGATAGTTAAAAAACTTGTCCCATGTCTCTCAGAAACGCGTCAAATGTGTCAATCTTGTTCAAACTTCTCCACCACGTTTCAATGAGATACCTGTAATAGTTATTAATTATTAATTATTATATTTATTTACATAATTTATTATATTATTATATATAATTATATTATACCTTGGAAGTAATTCTGGAGTTGTACCACACATATTTTTTACAATTTTTAGCCTCAATGGGCGCCACAAACTTTCAATTCTTTGGGTATGTGCTTTTGATATTGGATCTACAAAATTTTCGCTATGATTTACAATATTGTGACTGTACCCGAGATCCGAAAGTCCATTATAACCTGACCAGCCATCGGAATGTATTGTAGACCCAGCAATGACCTCTCTTTGTATAATATTGTGTAATGTAACCTTGTCTCTTTTTTGGATTACAAAATATCTTCCTTCGTTATTATCACACAAACCGAATACCCATGGTCCATCAAGCCGTCTTCCATAATTCCTTGCTCCATTTTCTAGAGGATCAATATTTTCCGAGTCATCGTCGACGTTAAGATTTTCGGATGGTAAATCTCCAAGTCGAAGTCGTCCTTTATTATTTCCTTGATCCTCGTAACAAACACTCGTCTACTTGGATAACTATTCCGGGTCCTCCTAATTTATTGCGGTTTTCAAATATTCTGACGGGTACATCACGACACAAGTTCATCCAGTCACACACTGTATGAGCTGATCTACCGGTTAAAGTTATAATTGTGGACTGCTTTAAATCTTGACACCAATAATAAACTAATTCTAGTTGTGCTCCAATACTTAATCCACTATTATTACGCCCATTTTTATCCAAGTATGTCCAAAAACTATTGTTCTTTCTAAATATATAGGTAATTAATATTATACATATGAAATATTAAATAGTACCTACCTTACCTTATACTTTGAGTGGTTTGACACCCTTTCCTTTTACACCTCAACAATTTTCTTTCTTTTCCGCGTTCTTTTTTTATGTAATATTTCATTTCACTACTACACTTATCGCACAATACATTTTCTACATTTACTAAAAGTTTTTTAGAAATTAAAAAATTAGTAGCCGATTCTTCGTTTTGAATTATAGTATAAAATTCTTTTGCAAGCATATTGAAAAGTGAAAATAAAAACCGTGTAAACCCAAGAACTGTCGGCCAATGACTAAATACACGATCAAAAATTATATCATGCAGTAAAAGAGAGTGCTAACCTTTATTAGCATTAAGTCAAGATAGTAAAGATAAATTGGGTAGTAGAGCGCATACGACAAGCGTGCCGTAATTGCAGGTAGACCGCGAATCGCGATCTACGGTAGAGCGCATACGACAAGATAGCCAACTGTTGTTTTCAGTTACATAAATTCGAGGTACGTCAGCCCACCGGAAGCCGTCGGGAGATTGTTTGCGTATAAACTACACGACATCAGTCACACGGTAGTTAGACTTCCGGTTCACCTAGAAAACTACCACAACGTGTACTTTGCGCGTGGACGGGAACTACAGATATTCGTGGATACTTGAAACTTCTAAAGTATACTACTGTCTATTATATATCTATGAATTCAGTACCGGGGCGAGCGGGGCACGTGCCCTCGATTTTGGAATTAATTAAAAGTACCTATTTTAGGTAAATTTTTTTTAATACGATATATAAGTATATAATATGTCTTATACCTAGACTGACATACCGTCTCCGCTCAGAATCGTTTTTCTTATACAATGATATTATATCTTTGAATTCAAATTTAATACTATCCATTATACAGTGACCCACTTCTAACCTACTGTACAGCAGAGGGACACCCACTTGCCTACCTTTTTTTCATTTGAAGTTGTACATATTCTTAATCTGAAGATAATAATAAGATTTTACTGACTTAAATTTTTTATGTGAAAGTTTAGTGTTCTAATATTGACTTCAAAACGATGCTTAAATAATCATTGCAAAATTGATAATCTTTTAAACAGCCTTGAAAAAATAAATAATAATGAACAAATATTAATGGTAACGTTATAAATTTAATATTCGCGTAATCTGAATAATAATTCACAATAATCAGTTGATTAAGTTTTCTTCAAGAACATTCATTAAACTATGATAAATTAAAAATAAACTGAAGTATGGAATAGACACAAATAGAATGACGTCACTTTTTCTATTGATAAGTCTAACGGTTCAAAACAAACTGTTATCACTATTCGTTCCATAAGAAATGCATAGGTTGAAAATATTGGTTGAAAAAAATTGATTTTTTTGTTAAAGTGCTAACTTCTAAAAACGTGTTCTTTACAAGTTTATACATATATACCGACCAAAAATATGAAGCTAAACACTTTTTTCGTCAAAACAAACAATTTGCAGTATTTTTTACCATACACCATTATACACAAATCATTCAGTTAACTCTTTGAGGGGCGAAAATTTCCTTTGGAAAAAAGACCCATGTGGGCAATATGTTTCTTTACCATAACATTTAGTACGTATATCAAAATATTGATAATGATAATAAATGATGAAAAACGCGAGAAATGATATCAGACCAGCGGCAGTGATATTGTTTGATGCATCTATAAGATTATAATAAGGTAGTTGGTATGCTGACCATCATCAAAAAAATATTAAAAATAATTTTAAAAGTGGTTAAAATAGTAACCACCGCACCTGAACGGTAAAAAAAAAAAGTGGTTAGCATACTAACCACGGCCCCTCAAAGAGTTAAGTATTAAATATTATTAATATCTTATACTATTGCAACTCATTGTACCTATACACTATTTTCCCTCCAATTTATGCTAATGTACACAATTTTTATATTTTTTAACTATACCTATTAAAATATATTTATTTGTTGTCTTTCTTTTTGAGCTTTTTCGCTTGTACGTGTTACACCGGAGTTCGGTTTTGATCATCTGTGGGTCAGTTAAGTGTCACTGGTTACCTAATACCTATCGAGCTATTTGAATAGCTTTTTCAAGGTAAGTAGTAATTACCCTTATTAAGAAATTTGATAACGTTGGAAATAATTTTATTTTAGTTAAAAAAATATGACTTCAAACAGCATCATCAAGCTTTCTTGCATCATAAATTGTATTGATGATGTAGTAAACCGACGTTTTTGCACAAAAAAATCGCCATTCCTATGACGTCAATCATCCTTTCCTAAATCCCAGGCATGTCTCATATAAATAGGGGCCCTGTTTCACAGACTTTTCAGACATAGAAGTAGTTACCAGTGCTTTACAATACTTGTGTGGGTCGCGGACTAGAAACAGCCGCATCGCCGTCCACATCAAGTACAAATTAAATTACAACTATTCTCCGGTAGAGTTATTATTCTGTCGACAAATTTCAACTTACTTAAAATTAACTATATTATTAGTTTCGTGTTAATAAACATATATCAATAATTAACTACATTTGGTGTTAAACTACTTATTCTACCTTCACTTCAACCACCATCCTCCGATTCATTGCGACGACGTGTACGTGCTTCGTCGTTAAAGAAGTGTGCAGTAACCAATCAAGTGAGAGCGACGGGTTACTAAAATGACTAATAACTAAAATGATTAATACAATTTTCAAAGGGTGAAAATTCTTTTGAATGTGGTTATGTTACGAGATTCAGTTATATACCTGATATTGGTATACTTAGTGGTCAAGTGCACGCTAGTATGAAAAATAAATTATATGATGTTAAGGTAAATAACTTTGTAACGTTGATTGTATAATTTTATAATTTTGAAATAATTGTGATGTATAATTTTTATAGATATTCTTCAAAGACAAGAATATTGATCATGCCAGTTGTACATGTCCAACAGGTTTGACAAAATGTCATCATATGGTTTCACTTCTTTTACATGGGCATACAAATATATCAGTGACTAATATAGCATGGAGCTGGAAAAAAAAATGTGCAAAAGAAAATGAAGAAGTAATGATTATTGATGATATGTATTCCAATAAATTTAAAGCTGTTACTGATACCCATAATATTGATGATTAACCCTTATGCTTTGATAAATTATCAACAGCTAATCAAACAGTTGGGTTTTCGTGGTTATTAAGTCCAGAACCTCTAGTTGAAGATTTTAGTGAAATTCTTCTCTTAGAAAATGTTATAAACTCCTCAGAATTTAGAACTTCAAAAAATAGTATACAAATGTTGTCTGAGCTTTGTAAATTATCTTTTGAACAAATTAAAGACATAGCTTCAAAAACTATAGGACAAAGTCAAAATGTTAAATGGTGTCTTTACAGAAAATTTCGTTCAACATCTAGTAATTTTCATAAAGTAATTAAATCAGTAAAAAACAATCGATACCCTAATTCACTTTATAAAGGTCTCCTAGGTAAATATTTTGTAGAAGGAGTAAAATCTATTGAATGGGGAAAAACACACGAAAATATTGCAATTGAGGAGTTTGAGAAGGCTAACAATTGTAATGTGACTAAAACTGGTATTTGGTTACATGAATCTGGGTTTTTGGGAGCCAGTCCAGATGGTTTGCTTTTTGATGACAACTCCTCATATTGCATTGAAGTCAAATGTCTTTATAGATTCCGAAATGAAGATTTAAAAATTAACCTTTCAAATTCAAATGATTACATTATTAACTTCGATACAAACAAAAATGATTTTGTTTTAAATTCTAATCATCAGTATTATGACCAAATTCAAGGTCAAATGCATATGACAAAAATGTCATCTGCAATTCTTATTATGTGGACTACATAATTCTTAGTTGCTTTTAAAATTAATCAGGATCCGAATTGGTCATTAAATACTGATATTTTATTACATTTTTACCATCAAACATTGATTCCATATATTTTAACAGATTTTAACTGATTATTATAAATAAAATAATTTTGGTATATTATATAATATGCATATGTATGCTATGCTTGGATTAATTTGATAACATAATTAAAACAAATTAATAAATATTTGATATAACAATTTATAATAATAATAATAATAATAATTAAATTGTGATTATAAAAATTATATACTTTAGGTTAAGTATAATAAATTGTTTACTGTTTTTAAATCATTTAGTTTTAATTAAAATTTAAAATTTGTATTAGCTTGTATACTGTATACATAATAAATAATAAACATAATAATATAATATGTTTTAAAAATAAAAACTGATAATGAAAATGAATATTTATTATTTTTATGTGTTGTCATTATTTGTATACAGATGTTCAACTTCTTTTATTAATGGATTTTGGAAATTGACCAATGCTGCACATAATTGAAAAACTAGTGATGATTTTGTATAAAGCGCTTTAGGAATATGTGTTAAAATTTTAAATTTCTTCAGCCTCACCATCACTCTTTCAACGTGAATTCTGGCTCTAGCTATGCTCTTTGTTTTCAAAACTTCACTTGGAGTGAATTGTGGAGACATAAGAAAAGGAGGGATATTTAAGGAAGTTTCTGGAGGCATCAAGTCTGAAATTAAGAAGCCTTTATCAGCTAAAACTAAATCACCGGGATGTAATATAGGTATTTAAAACTCCACAATGACCTACGATTTTTTTGTCGGAAGGGGACCCAGGATACAGTTTACTGGCATACGTAATAACACCATTAGGAGCCACTCAAATAAGTCCTTTCAGTGTATTTTTATGTTTATAAGAACTAAAGAACTATATGTCAATTTTTGGTCCAGTAGTGATTTAGGAATATCGCATGAAATTTCAGTACAATCTAATGTTATTCTACAATTTTGAAAATTACTGAAACATTCTGGCAAGCAATTTTGGTTCTTATTTTGTGAAGGTACTGTGTTCATTAAGTTAACATACAAAGTTTCATGAAGAACACTAATTAGTGTCAAAATAATATTACCAATAGTGGATTCGCTAGTTTTAAATCTAAATGCTAAGTCTGGGTAAGCTAAATTCAATCTTAATTTTATAAAAGTCATGAGAATTTGGTCTTTTAGACAGAATTTTTCAACATTCCAACCTTAATAATAACTAAAATTAACTTTGGAACATAAATCAACAATTCTATCAAACATAGATTTACTAATACCACAGTAGAATTCAAACAATTTATTATCGGATTCAAGAGAATGGTAACCGAAAGGATGATTTTTGAGGAAGGATTTTTCTTCTTTTAAATCTTCAATTTCTTTTTGAAGGAAATACATTTCTGCTTGATCAGTGGCACTGGTTTTCGATGTTATAACATTTGTTTCTGTTTCAATAACACTAGAACTCTCGTTTTCCAGTAAAAATGTTCCATTTTCTACCTTTTTACTCCTTTAACAATAATAGAAAAATGAATTCTTAATTTTAGAATTTCCATTTTTAATACCAATAATATGTTGATACTCTAACAACACATAACATGAATATGCATGCAACGTACAACTATACTTTCTTATTTATTAATTTATTCTAACCCCTTTCTACACTTAACACATTTATTAGTAATAAAACAATTATACGTAGTTAAGTATTAGTTTGAGATAGACACAGGCTTAAATAAATAAACATAGAGATTTTATTTGTAAAAAACATATAGCTTATATTTTATGTTATTTTAATCACACACACATACATTGTATTAATATCTATATAATTACAGAACAAATAAAATAACTAGGAACTAATAATTAATACAAAAATAAAATATGCAAGGTGAGCCACTGTGATTTGTTATGAAGATGGATGTAGATTGTAGAAGGAAAAAAAGGGGGAGGAATTCAAAAAAGTGATAGTTGGATGAAGTAGAAAGATATGAATATAGTTTGTATGACTGTAGCAAACTGGGCTTTATGGAAGTATAGGACTAGGGTGGTTGACTTCATTGTTATTATCGGGAGTGTATTGCAAAAATATAGAACACTAATGCCAGGTCACATGAACAATCACTAATCATTTAACAAATCAATAGTGACCTTGTTGTCACTTAGGCATGATTAGTCTATTAAATTGTATTGATCCATTAAATTATTCAATTTTTCATGCAACCCTGCATAACAATTAATAAAATAAAATAATGATACTAATGAAAAATCAGTAACATTAAATAAAAATAACCAACAATAAACATAAAGTTATAATAAATCAAGGAGGTAAATATTATTTTCTATTGCATACTTTGTATGTTTTTCAGGGGATGTAAATGAAAAAGATACGTTTTTGTTCCATTCAAATAGAGTAGGTCCGTTTTCTCTTAGTCCATCTTTGAAGTGACAACTACATATTTTATTGTTTTTTGTAGGATCCTGTCATGTACAAAGTTTAATAATTTAAAATTAAAATAACTTATAACTTTTTTCAGTTAATTATATAGGTACCTACTAGGTACCTATATAATATATTTAACAGAATATAACTATTTAATATAATTTACCTCACGGATTTAGCCCAAACTTTGCATTCAACATCATTTGCTGGAAATCTAAAAAACTTGAAGGTTTCTCTGTTGAAAATGTGAGAACACAACGGAACCCAACATTGAACCATTTTGACACTTAACTGACACACAGATGATCAAAACAGAACACCGGTGTAACACGTACAAGCAGATGGCTCAAAAAGAAAAACAACAAATAAATATATTTTAATAGGTATAGTTAAAAAATATAAAAATTGTGTACATTAGCATAAATTGGAGGGAAAATAGTGTATAGGTACAATGAGTTGCAATAGTATAAGATATTAATATTATTTAATACTTAACTGAATGATTTGTGTATAATGGTGTATGGTAAAAAATACTGAAAATTGTTTGTTTTGACGAAAAAAGGGTTTAGCTTCATATTTTTGGTCGGTATATATGTATAAACTTGTAAAGAACACGTTTTTAGAAGTTAGAACTTTAACAAAAAAATACAAACACCAAAAAAATCAATTTTTTTCAAACAATATTTTCAACCTATGTATTTCTTATGAAATTAACAGTGATAACAGTTTGTTTTGAACCGTTAGTCTTATCAATAGACAATGTGACGTCAATACTATTTGTGCCTATATATTATGATGTGTTCCGAATGGGCACTGGGAAATAATTTCCCACTAGTTTACTCGTAAGCCTATATTTTAAAAATAGATGGCGTTGTATGCAATATAAAGTTATGACTAGGGCCCGAAATTATATTCTTTAGCATATTTTTTTTGAGGCTATGCTGTCAGACGGGGGTTCGAAATCTTTACAAATCATGAAACCGGTTAATTAATGGCAAAAGTTTTTTTAGCATATTTGAGAATATTTCAAGATAAAAGAATATTTCGTACAATAAAGAATATTTGAGAATATATCGATTGATTTTTATAGACATTCGATATTTTTTGTTGCAGTGGCGTAAATATTATAAATTATGTGTCCGATAATAGTGATATGATATTGATACATTATATAAGGAATTATAACCATCCTATAGCATGCCTTAATTAGTAATGTACTGTAATATTCTGTAGTAGATAAGTGACTTATCTAAGATAACGATGCCCGACAAGAAATGGAATTATTACTACACTTTAAAAATATTTAGCTCCAGGCGTTCGATTATTACTACATGTACGGTACAACACTGCAGCGTCGCACCGTCAGACACCGTTCTACACCAAAGAATTAAGTAGTCAAAAATCTTCCAGTCGGTCAGTACTTAAATGTATAACAGTTTTTGACTTAGAAACCATAGAAAACGATCTAATATTTATTAAGGCCTATTTTTTTGTTCTCGTAACATACATCAAAAGTTTGGAAAAATCTAATGTGATTCTTGTTGATTCGATAAATCTAATTGAAAATACAATTGGTCAACTTCAAAAAATACCCGGAGAAAATGGAAATAAAATAAAAATAAAAATTGATCAACTTCAACAAAAAAATAAAGGGCTTATCATTTTGAAAAACGTAGCTAAAGTTTTGAATGGAAATAATGAAGTTAAACTTATAGACAATTTTTCACCGTCTATGATTACTGATTTTCAAAATGCTCCCGTGACTTCAGTTGACATAGACTGAATGCGTCATAGACTTGCGACTCGCATCTTATCGTAACATTTAAAAAAAAATTTTTTAATATGAATTTAAATATGAGATTAAATCTAAATTTATGTATTTGAAAAAGTATAATATTTTATTAAATTAAATTAAATTATTAAATTACAGTGTATAGAAAAAAATTTGTAAAAATAAAGTATTCTTGATATAATTTTTCTTAATTGCCTATTTTCTTATTTGTTGCGTGTTTATTTTGCTTGTAAGCTTTTTAAAATCAGGACTATATGTTGTTAACGCAGTCCTTAACAATTCAGTTAAATGATCATCCGTTAATGTTGATCGATGTTTAGATTTAATCATTTTTTTTTTTTTACATTTTGGCTCTTCCATATTTATTAATATATTTGGTGGCTCGCAAGTCATTTCTCGCTGGCCACCCCTGAATGTTCATTTAGAACTTCTAAAAATATATTAACAGACCGTCGTACAAATATGACACCAGTTCACATGGAACAAAATATAGTTGTTAACTGTTTTCAAAAATGTTCGTAATTTAAAATACCTTATTGTTATTGATATAATTTAATCAATTCTTTTTAACATGTATTATTTTGCTTATTTTTTGCATATTATTTTAGATTATGAGTGAAACGATGAATGTATGATTTTACAATGATGTGTGGTTTTTTTTTAATTTTTTTTTTTTTTTTAATTTTTAATTTTTTTTTGTGTCGTCAGGTTTTAGAACAGTAAAAGTGCTT